CTAGGCTGACGCACGGCACTCACTCTAGCCTGGGCAACAGAGAGAGACTCTGTTTAAAAAAAAAAAAATGTAGTATTTGTTCGCATTTTCACTCAGTGATGACTTCTGAAGAACAGTTGTTAACTTTAGTGCAGTCCATTTATCATTCTTTTCTGTTGTGCTTGCTGCTGTCTGTGTTCTGTTTAAGAGATTTCTGCTGATGGCCGGGCGCAGTGGCTCACGCCTGTAATCCTAGCACTTTGGGAGGCCGAGGTGGGCGGATTGCTCAAGGTCAGGAGTTCGAAACCAGCCTGAGCGAGACCCCGTCTCTACCAAAAATAGAAAGAAATTAATTGACCAACTAAAAATATATATAGAAAAAAATGAACCGGGCATGGTGGCGCATGCCTGTAGTCCCAGCTACTTGGGAGGCTGAGGCAGGAGGATCGCTTGAGCCCAGGAGATTGAGGTTGCTGTGAGCGAGGCTGATGCCATGGCACTCACTCTAGCCTGGGCAACAAAGTGAGACTCTGTCTCCAAAAAAAAAAAAAAAAAAAAAGAGAGATTTCTGCTTATCCCAGACATAGGATGAATATCTTCCTATCATCCTACATCATGAAGATATTCCCCTTCGACCTCTAGATATTTCATTGGTTTAGCTTTCATATTTAGGTCTGTGCTACATACATCTCAAATGGATTTTTGTGTCTAGGGGTAGGTAGACATCAAGATGTCCTTTTTACCCACCTGGACATCCAGTTTATCCCACACCTGTTATGAAAACACTGTCCCCACTGAATTGAATTGAGCCCTCTGGCAGACAGCTGGCAGCTGTATTTGCACAGGCAAACTTCTGGCCCCTCAGTTCTGTCCTGTTAGTCTATGTGTCTGTCCCTGCACCAACACCGCACTAGCTTAATTCCTGTAGCTTTGTAGTCAATCTTGATCTCTGTGGTGAGCCCTTCAATTTGTTCTTCAAGTTTGTCTTAGTTATTCTAGGGCCTTTGCATTTCCATATAAATCATAGAGCAGTTGGACCCCTCATGCACTGCTGGTGGGAATGTAAAATGGTGCAGCAGACACTTTGGAAAACGGTGTCTTAAAATGTTAAACACACACTGAGAATTCACTCCTCAGTATTACTCAATACCTAGGAGTGGAATTACAGTATAGATTCATACATCTGCACAGAGACTTGTACTCGCATGTTCATAGCAGCTTTATTAACAATAGCCAGGCAGCGGAAACAGCCTAGATGACTGCCAGGTGAGTGAATAAACAAACGGAATATTCATACAGTGGATACTGTCAATACTGGGCAACAAAGACGGACGAACTGCTGAGCTCAGAATAACTATGCTGAGTGAAAGAAGCCACACGTACTGTGTGTCTCCATTGCTACAATCTCTAGGGACAGAAAGCTGCTCAGTGGGTACCTGGGACTGGAGGCAGGGATGACAGAGGCACAAGGAAAGTTTTGGGGGTGAAGGATGCCATTCTCTTGATTGTGGTGATGGTTTGGCAGATAGGACTTTCAAACTGTCCACTTCAAATATGTCAGTTGATTTTATGTCAATTATATCTCAATAAAGCTATTTTCTTTTAAAAATACAGTTTCTCTCTTTTTTTTTTTTTTTTTTTTTTTTTTTTTTGAGACAAGAGTCTCACTCCCTTGCCCAGGCTAGAGTGCTGTGGCGTCAGCCTAGCTCACAGCAACCTCAATCTCCTGGGCTCAAGCAATCCTTCTGCCTCAGCCTCCTGAGTAGCTGGGATTACAAGCATGCACCACCATGCCCAGCTAATTTTTTCTATATATTTTTAGTTGGCCAATTAATTTCTTTCTATTTTTTTAGCAGAGACAGGGTCTCACTCTTGCTCAGGCTGGTTTTTTTTTTACTTTTAGAACTTTATTTTTCAAAATTATATTGAAAGTAAATGATGAAAAATCATATTCAACTGAAGGAAGAGTAAAAATCTTTGTTTCAAGTGTGGTCTGAGTCACTCACAGAGATTAGATACATGCATTCCATACTGGTTCCTCTATAGATCTGAGGTAGCACAGGTCAGCAGGCCAACATAACAGTTCACAAGGCACCATTGGTTTTGTGTGATGTAATGCTACCATCTAAGATCTAGAAATACAGAAAAAAATCAAATATGGCATGTAGATTTTTCTTTAATTTCCTTGAATTTATATTGGATTGACACTGATATTATTTAATACATTTACTATGCTTTGTGTTTGGGTCTTTTCTGAAATAGACTGTAAGATTTCATCAGCATCCCAAATGCAAATTGTTCCTTCAGGTAACCCCCTACACTCAATCGATCACAACTTAAGGCTTTGGTTAGAACAGATTCATGTCTTTTTCCTGTGGCAGATATTTTCAAATAGATTCTTCCCCATGTCTTTGTAATCTTTTTAGGTATCAGTAAAGATCCTGATACCTTCTTAGTGTTCCCTAAAATCCTTCCATACTTTAATCACATGACTTAAGAAAAAATATATATATATACATATTTATCATAAAACCAGAGAAGCCAAAACTTAATTGAAACATTCCAGGATAATGGTGACAGCCCAAGCAATCCTAATGCCTCAGCCTCCCTAAGTGCTAGGATGACAGGTGTGAGCCACCACACCTGGTCCAGAACATTTTTGGAGTACATCTGCTCTTACCTTAGCTCATTAATGGAAAAAAAGCACAGTGCCTTACACATAGTATTTAGGGTAAGTGTTCGATGGTTTAAATTTATATTTTATTTTTTCATACTACTCAAAACTGCAAATAGGATATAATCTCACAACTACATTATTAAAGTGAGTTTTAAAAATACTTAATGTGTGATTGAAAAGTTTTCTAAAATTTATCATTGCTTCATAATTGTAATTACTTTTGTCCAATTTCAAATACTACCTAAAAGTGAGGCTCTACCTTCTTTAGAGCCTCACTCAAGAAAACAAAAATCACTTGATAGTTACTCTGAGAAGAGTATCTTCCTGTGCAATGATTTTGTTGCTGTATTTTGGAATTTAAAATATTCCTCAGTTATAGATACCATGCTATATATTTCAAATCTGATTTGCCCGAAAAGGCAAAGAAAATAAGTCATCAATTTTTAGCTTTGTCAAGGCTTAGATTATTAAAGATTTTACAAAAAGTAAAAAATGAAAACTTTTTTCTAACATAAGTTCATTTTTGCTTTTCAGGCTATTTCTTCACATTTATCAACCTCCTTCCTCATGAATGGAAGGCCTTTAAACTTTTTCATAAGCCTGTGCCTTCTATAATCAACTTTGAGTTAGCTTTTAAAAAGGCAACCCCGTTCCTCTATGTTCTTCACAGGCAGTACCAGGTGTGAAATACGGCTCCAGAGCCCACTCAGTTTGTCTGAATCCATGTGGTTGAAGGAGCTGGGAGAGTCCGAGTTGGTAAACTTGGCCCAGAGTAAATCCCTCACTTTTTCTTCAGTTTCCCTTGGGCCTACACTTGCTTCTAATGTTTCCTCTTCTAATAGAACGGTTAGGACCAGAGCCACATCTTTACAGGCGGCATTCTCATGATCACGATACTTGTAGAAGATCAAGGTGGAGCCTGCAGGAAGGGACTCAAAGTTGTGTACCACGGCAGCCTTCTGGCCATTCTCAAATCCATAGCTCAGTTCCATATCACCCAACAGCTTGACTGTGTCACTGTCCTGCAAGGTTCTTCCAGCCCCATCAATTTGAATGGCAGAGACTTTCTGGGAACAGGTATAGGCATCTGCAACGTGGTGGCTCAGGCACTTCAGAGTCTCTTTCCCTTCCCCAGCTGCTGTAAATATGATCGTGGCTGGCTCAGTAGGGTTTGAAGCATTGAGGTGCTTCTGGAGAAACTTACATCCTCTCTGCCAAAGGAATGAACTCTGACCTGGAAATTTATCCTTCAACTGACTAAACTGAGCCAAGAAGGCCTCCAAAGCTGGATTTGGGGGTACTTGCTGGGCTGGAAATGAATAGTAGCTATTAACAGAATTTAGCACAAAAGCCACAACCAGGAAGCCAAGAAAGATGGGGCCATAGCTCCAAAAAGCCTTTTTACTAATCTTTATTATGGCTTCTTGTGCATTCTCTTTGTTCTCTTCCAATTTTTGTGTTTCTTGTTGACGATTTTCAGCCTCTGGAGGCAGTCGCCTCCTCAGTGTATCCTGGCTCTCTAGACCCACCCTGGAATGACCAGAACTTTGGGCCTCCTGGATTATTGCAGCAGATGGCTCCTGAGAAGCTCCAGTTCTGTCACTCACTTCCTCAGGGAGGGCTGCAGAGCTGCTCTCTAAGTGTGCATCTGCTCTTCCTTCCTTATCACTTGCAGAATGGTCAGGATCTGGATCCAAGGGTTCTTCACCCAGATTTTCTGAAGGGACATGATGCCCTTGTTCTCCATCCTGAAAACTCTGGTTGTTCTCATGTTCTGTTTTATCCTTTGGATAGTCCCCAAAATTTGTTTCATCTGGACTTTCTTTTTTTTTTTTTTTTTTTTTTTTTTTTGAGACAGGGTCTCACTTTGTTGCCCAGGCTAGAGTGAGTGCTGTGGCGTCAGCCTAGCTCACAGCAACCTGGCTCAAGCAGTCCTACTCCCTCAGCTTCCCGAGTAACTGGGACTACAGGCATGCGCCACCATGCCCGGCTAATTTTTTTTTCTATATATATTAGTTGGCCAATTAATTTCTTTCTATTTTTAGTAGAGACGGGGTCTCGCTCTTGCTCAGGCTGGTTTCGAACTCCTGACCTTGAGCAATCCGCCCGCCTCAGCCTCCCAGAGTGCTAGGATTACAGGCGTGAGCCACCACGCCCGGCCTCATCTGGACTTTCTGATTCATCAACTGTATCTGCACTTTCTGGATATATTGTCTCTATCTCTTGGTGCTCTTTGTTAAGACCAGAGGCAGGGTGTGGAGTCTGAGCTTCTTCAATGATACTTGCTGTGATTGTGGTCTCCTGTGCCTGAGAATTTATTGATGGATCATTTTCCAAATACTTTTGAGAATTCTCTTGAGGCTCCCGAAGTCCACTGTCGGTCATGTTTGTGTTCTATCTCTTCAGAGTTTGGGGTAGTTTTTTAGTGTCTGATTTTCCTTGTGAAGATGTCTTGTTTTCTTCTTGTCCCAAGTCCCAACAGACTCATGCTTCCAGGAAACAAGGCATACATACAGTTAATTACTTGGAGAGGGTTAAATTTGGCTTGCACCTCTGTGCAATTCTTCAAGATTTCGTTGTCTATTTTTCACTCAATTGCAACTCAGTCTCTGAACTCAGGGACCAATCCAGTCTATAATGTTATCAGTCACTTATAATGTTATTAGTCACTTACTAGCAGCCCAGATATCAGAATAGCTCCTTCAAATCCCAGCTTCTCAGGAAGAGATAGGCCCTAGGCTCAATTAGTTATTTTTTTGTTGTTGTTATCAGCTGGTGGTGATACAGCTGGTGGTGGTCACACAGAGGCACTTAGCTTACTCTGCTTTCTTGATAAGATTATTATGTCTGCTTGGTGAAACAGAGGAGCTCACAGGTCCAGAGGCTCTTTTGTTGGTGTTGGCACTCTTGCCGTTGTAATACATGTACCCAAGTCTTAAGGCCTTGGCACTTTACAGTGATGTAGGGGGGTCAGGAAAACCTGGCAGAGTTCTCTTGAGTGTAGATCCAGTGAAGTCTGTCTTGGGAGGACCTTAATGAGGACCCAGTCACAGAGGAGGAGCTGATGTTGAGTTGGCTGGAGATCTCAGAATGCATCACATACAGCAGCCTCGGCTACAAACGTCTCTGGTTACGACCAGGAGAGGGTTGCGGGACTCTCCTTCCTCTGAAGGTAGGCATAGATAGGTCTCAGCTGCAAGACTGGGAACGTGTGCTGCTGGTGTGCACCTCGGTGGAGCTCTTGCCCGCCTGGGTGTTGAGTCCTCCTCGGGTCCCCGCCGGACATGCGCCTCATGCAGGTCCACGCAGACCTGCAGGCGGGCAGGGGCGCCGAGTGGCCGAGTAGAAAAGATAGTCGTGCCAAGCCACCCGGACGGAGCCGGAGAGCTTGGCCCAACCTTGTGCATCAGTTTAGAGGAGTCAGGGTTGCCTCTTTCCGCAGGCTGTCACGAGAGGACAGCCAGTTACTCCAGGTTCAGTTTCATTTCGGATCCCTCTGCCTTGCGGATGTTTCTTTCTATGGAAGCCACTTCCATTTCCTCTAAAGCTTACAGGTCAGAGTCATGGTTCTAATCTAACCTTCCAGTCTTTTCCTCAGGCTGGTTTTGAACTCCTGATCTTGAGCAATCCTCCCACCTCGGCCTCCCAGAGTGCTAGGATTACAGGCGTGAGCCACCCGCGCCTGGCCTAAAAAAAATAGTTTCTCTTTGAAGCAGCATATTGTATCATTTTGTTTTGTTTTCCCCTGCAATCCAACCTGGCAATCTTTGTGCATTTACCCATTTATGTTTAAATGTATTTGCCAATGTGGTTGTGTGGTTTTTTATTGTGATAAAATATGCATAACATAATATTCATCATGTTAACCACTTACAGGTGTACAACTCAGTGGCATGACATACATTCACAACGTTGTGCAACCATCCACAATATCTATACCCCAGAACCTTTTTATCATCCCCAAGAGAAACCCTGCACCCCTTAAACAATAATTCCCAGCTGGGTGCTATGGCTCATGCTTGTACTCTCAGCACTTTGGGAGGCCGAGGCAGGAGGATCCCTTAGGCCAGGAGTTTGAGACCAGCCTGGGCAACATAGTGAGACCCTATCTCTACAAAAATAATTAGCCAGGCGTGGTGGCGCTCACCTACAGTCCCAGCTGCTCAGGAGGCTGAGCAGGAAGATCACTTGAGCCCAGGAGTTCAAGGCTACCTTGAGCTGCTGTGATTGCACCACTGCACTCCAGCTTGGACAACAGAGTGAGAACCTGCTCTAAAACACAACAGCAACAACTCCTCATCTCCCCACACACATCTGTACTTTGTTCCTTTCCCCCGCTTTTTTTTCTTCTGCCTTGTGTGTGTGTGTGTGTTGCTTTTTATAATTGGTACAGCACTTACCCGAAGGAGTGAGTCTGTGGCCCTAACTTCCCCCAGCCCATGCTTGTGCAGGGTCCTGGACAGCAGCACAGCTGCATCTTTGCCCCCCTGCCTTTGGCACTCTTGTTTTCAGATAATTTAAACCACAAAAGACATTACTGGTATTGTTCTAAACAGTCCATTTCTACTTATATTTACCCACATATGTATGATTTCTAGTGCCTTCCATGCCTTCCTGCAGATGTCTTTCCATCTTGAATCAACACTCACTCTCAAATTACTTTATTTCTTGGCAGAAAATAGGGTCAAGAAAATAACAAGTTATTTTTTTGCTGATTTTTTCATCTTATTATACATTAGGAAGTGGTTAAAAAGAAAGAAAGAAAATGAAAGGAAACAGAATAAGAAAATGGCTGCAATAAAAAATGTGTGCTTAATGTGAAAAAAAAAGAAGAACGAAAAGATAGCATCGTCCCAGTAAAAGGCATTAGGATATGCATAAACACCCATTCTCAGCTGTTTCCTGGTCTTGACTCCTACAAACATCATCCAAAACCCTCTATGGATCCCACAACATAGAGGCACTATATTTCGAGTAACATTTTAAATAACAATATGCCATAGATCAGGGGTCCCCAAAGTATGGTGAGTTGTATAATTATTTTATTATATATTATAGTGTAATAATAATGGAAATAAAGTGCGTAATAAATGGAATACGCTTGAATCATCCCCAAATCATGTCCTCCCTCCCCAGTCCACAGAAAATTGTCTTCCATGAAAACGTTCCCCGGTGCCAAAAAGAATGGGGACTGCTGCTATATTCTCCTCTCCAACACAGGTGGAAACGTGCACCTCCTTCATGTGTTAAGAGGGCTAGGGTGAACATGCTGGGGTTTTAACAGCTTTGTTAAGATATAACTCACATACCATAAGGTACACCTGTTTAAAGTGTGCAATTCAATGATTTTTAATATATTTGCAGACTATTGTAACATCACTATAATCTATTTTTGCACATTTTCATCATTCCAAAAGAAACACAGTACCTTTTTTTTCCAAACAATTTAGGGGGTACAAATATTTTTTGATGAGTTGTATCATGCTGAAGTCAGGGCTTTCAGTGTACCGGTTGTAAGGTTTTTCGATGGCAGCAAAAAGAAAAGACAGAGAGAAAGAGTGGGGCCAAAAAAAGTGGCTTTATTATATACTCCCGGACGAGGTTCTGGGGTCCCAAGATAGGAGGGCTCCAGAAGTCGCACCCATTTGAAGGGGGTGCGGCCTTTTATACCCTTTGGGCCAGGCTAGAGACTTTTGGTGGGAAGAGCTTGGGATTTTCCATTGTCACCTTTGGTGGTCATTGAGAAATAGGAGGGGCTGGCAGTATTTGCGGAATCCAGGAGCCAAAACGTTCTTGTCCGGGTGGACACCTGGGTGTGGTTGTTCTCGGCGGGCCCTGGTCTTGTGAGCCTTTTCTTTTTGATTTAGGGAGGGGAGGGAGGCCCGCCACCAGCCTTACACCCGTCACCAGAACAGTGTACATTGTACCCAATAGATTTTTATCCCTTGCCCCTTCCCACCCTCCCCCTTCTTAGTTTTTGATGTGCGTTACACCATATTATGACCATGTATACCCATCATTTAGCTTTCATTTAATAGTGAGAATGTGTGGTGTTTGTTTTTCCATTCCTGAGATACTTTACATAGGATGATGGTCTCCAGTTCCATCCAAATTGCTGCAAAAGACATTATTTCATTCCTTTTAATGGCTGAATAGTACTCCATGGTGTATGTATCTACCACATTTTCTTTCTCCATTCATCAGTTAAAGGGCACTTAGAGTGGTTCCACATCTTTGCAGTTGTGAATTTGCTGCAATAAACATTCAAGTGCAGGCATCTTTTTGATATAATGACTTATTTTCCCTTTTGGTAGACACCAAGTTGTGGGATTGCTGAATTGAATGGTAGGTCTACTTTTAGTTCTTTGAGGAATCTCCATACTGCTTTTCATACTAAGTGTACTAGTTTACATTCCCACCAACAGTGTATAAGCGGTCCCTTTTCACAGCTTCAGCGCCAACATCTATTGTTTTTTGACTTTGTCATAATGGTGATTCTGATAGAGGTAAGGTGGTATCTCACTATGGTTTTAATTTCCATTTCTCTGATGATTAGTGATGTTGAACATTTTTTCATGTTTGTTGGCCATTTGTCTATCTTCTTTTGAGAAAAATCTGTTCATGTCTTTTGCCCACTTTTTGATGGGGTTATATGGGTTTTTGTCTTGCTTATTTGTTTGACCTCTTTGTAGATTCTGGATATTAGCTCTTTGTCAGATGTATAGTTTGAGAATATTTTCTCCCATACCGTAGGCTATTTACTCTGTTGATTATTTTCTTTGCTGTGCAGAAACTTTTTAGTTTAATTAAGTCCCGTTTATTGGCTCAGAATTTGGTAGTATGCCCCTCTAAGCCCGCCAGCGAACCCCTCTGAGCCGGCCAGTGAAATAAAAGCTGATTCTCTGAAAAAAAAAAAAAAAAAAAGTCCTGTTTATTTATTTTTGTTGTTGCTGTATTTGTTTTTGGTGCCTTACTCATAAATTTGTTGCCTAGACCAATGTCTAGAAAAGTTTTTCCTATGTTTTCTTCTAGAATGGTTATGGTGTCAAGTCTTACATTTAAGTCTTTAATCCATCTTAATTTTTGTATATGGTGAGAGATGGGGGTCCTGTTTCATTCTTCTGCATGTGGCTCTCCAGTTTTCCCAGCACTATGTATTGAATAGGGCGTCTTTCCCCAGTCTATGTTATTGTCTATTTTGTCAAAAATCAGGTGATCGGGGGGTTAGCAGCTACGTGAGTTCTCCGGTGGTGGCTGCTACACACACGGTAGGCAGCATGTCTGCATCAGCGGCAACTTATAAGCAGGGAAAGTTGGCCTCTGGGGCCAGTGCAGGGGCCAGCAAACAACGGACAAAGGCAAACTCTGCGGGGGATGGGCAAATCTAAGGGTGGCAGCAAGATGAATAAGGAGATTTCCAGCGACTCTGAGAGCGAGCGCCCAGCTCCGAGGAGGACTGAGGAGGAGGAAGAAGAGGAGGTGGAGGAGACTGCACAGGAGAAGAAGCTGCGCTTGGTCAAGCTCTACCTTGAGCAGCTCCGGCAGCAAGAGGATGAGAAGGCTGAGGCCTTTGCCTTTGAGGAGGACCAGGTGGCAGGGCGCCTGAAGGAGGATGTGCTCAAGCAGAGAGGCAGGCTGCAGAAGTCAGTGGCATATAAATTGGATCATACAAATGGGGTCTTTTGTGTTTGAATGATTTCAAGGTTCATCCATGTTGCAGCATGTGTCAGCACTTCATTCCTTTCATAGCTGAGTAATATTCCATTGCAGGCCGGGTGCGTGGCTCACGCCTGTAATCCTAGCACTCTGGGAGGCTGAGGCAGGTGGATTGCTAGAGGTCAGGAGTTCAAAACCAGCCTGAGCAAGAGTGAGACCCCGTCTCTACTATAAATAGAAAGAAATTAATTGACCAACTAATATATATAGAAAAAATTAGCCGGGCATGGTGGCACATGCCTGTAGTCCCAGCTACTTGGGAGGCTGAGGCAGGAGGATCACTTGAGCCCAGGAGTTTGAGGTTGCTGTGAGCTAGGCTGACGCCACGGCACTCATTCTAGCCTGGGCAGCAAAGTGAGACTCTGTCTCAAAAAAAAAAAAAAAATATTCCATTGCAGGGACTGACCACATTTTGCTCATTTATTCATCAGTTGATGGACATCTGGATTGTTTCCATTTTGGGGCTACTATGAATAGTGCTGCTATGAACATTTCTGTCTAAATTTTTGTATGAATGTGTTTTCATTTCTCTAGGAAAGGAATTGCTGGGTTATATGGTAACTTATGTGTAACATTTTGAGTATCTGTCAAACTGCTTCCAAAAATGCCACACCATTTTACATTCCCACCAGTGGTATATGAGGGCTCCAATTTGTTTATGTCCTTGCCAACACTTGTTTTGCACATCCTTTTGATTATAGCCATTCTAGTAGGGATGAAATGTTATTATAGTTTTGATTTGTACTTCCTTAATGAATAATGATATTGAGAACATCTTTGCACATGTAGGATCAGTTTAACCTGTAATATATATTTTTTTAATTTTTAAAATTTTGTTCTACCTGTAATATTTCTTATAGTATAGGAAGGCTGGCATTGTATCAACCTGAACCATTGTCTACAAATGTATTTATTTTGCCTTCATTTTTAAAGGT